AAACCGATATCTTCTCAGTAGAAAGTGTGAAGCCTAAGAAACTGCAGGTTGAAGAGCAGTGGCAGTGTTAACAATAGTAGTAGTGTGTGTGTGTGTGTGTGTGAATTGAAATTCGGAAATTAAAATTCAACTGAGAGTAGATAATGAAATATTAATATCTAGTTTCACTGTAGAAACAAGTGAAAATTGTTTAGAAACAACTAAAAAAGTTGAACAAGTTAAACTGTTAATGTAAACTACTAAACAAACACAAGCGAAATTTTGAAACATCTCCACTCTACTACACCAATTGAGAAGCAAAGATTGGGTTCTACAGTAAAGAGGGAGCCAGCTGTAACAGGAGAGTGTGTCGCACTCCTATTGGTGGAGGGTTGTCGCATGATTATTTGCATGCTACAATGCAGCTGTACCAGGTTGAACACACGTGATAGGTCGAAGTATAAAGTCTAGTGGTGAGCAAAAAAATCTGTGTTTATAGAGGGCAGCACTGAACAAGAAAAGCTATTATGTGAGAGGTGGTAAGATATCGTATTGGAACTTATGTTAGAAGTAAATGTGGGAATGGTTAGCAATCTCTACTTAATATCCTGTAACAAATGTTTTTTACCACCATTTGAGCCCAAAAAAGTTTTTACTTTATTGGCTCTCTGTACCGTATCAGAATGAGCATTTGATCATTATCGTTATATAATAATAGAAAATAAGCTTTCAATTTTGTGGGGTCTGCCATGACACAATCTTTTGGAAACATTTATGTAATGTTAATTTAAAATCTTTGTCCTTGTGCCAAAAATGACAAACCGATAAACAACTTATGTAACCAATGTAACTGTTTACATGATCTGTACTAATGTATCGAAAATCTTGCGAATCTATTTCATTTTTTTCTAATATTCATATATTACAAACAATAATGTTTTAAAAAAATAGTAATTTTTACAACTATAAACTTTGGCTGAAATATTTCAATGAAAGCAATTTTCTAATGGCCACAGAAAATGGCATTCTGCAAAACAGAGGGCACAAATAATAACTTATACCTGTAGTAATTAACTTATTATAACAAAAAGTGGCTGGCAAAAATGCTTGAGATAGACTATATTGCTTATAACCTACTTCAGAAGTCTCACACATTGTTTTTCTAGTTATTTACTGGCAATTATGAGAGAACTAACAAGATGCACAAAGCTGGTTTTAAGGCATTAATATTGAATATACTTTGGCTTTGCTGTTAATGCAACTATTTTACTTTACTTTTTGTTATTTAACTAGAGCATGGTATATTTTTTTATTCAACATCTATTATAAACAGTTGAAAATCGTCCATCTGTCATGCCGATATCTCAGCTGTTGTAGAACTGAACGACACGAAACGACGGCTATTTCTGCTGCATCAAGCAAGTTTGTCTTTTTAAAATTCTTCCAGCCACAGATATATCAAACTGATGATGTAATACTTTGGGCATTTAATTAGATTTGAGAGTAGGTTGATAGAGATCGTGATGAGTAATAAAATTGAACCTGGTATATGCATGCTCAAAAATTGGTTTTGCTGGAGCACAAAAATTTCCCCATTACGTATGCTTGGTTGTCAAGGAGACATGTTGATGCAACATAACCAAATTTTGTCCAATCGGAACTCTCAGCTACAACTCTATAATAGCCCACATTTCAATTTTGAAAGTGCTCAAATTAAAGCACACTTCTTCAACTCAGCAGGCTAACAAAGCCAAAACCAGGAAGACAGTCCAAAGATATGACCCCAAAATTCCTAATAAAATTCACTGCCTTTACCATCAAAATTAATAATATGATAGGTCATACAGTTGGCCAAGTAGGAAAATGTTTTTGAGAATCAGTTTCCTTGCATTTCTCAATCTATAAGGATTTATCAAGAAGAACAGTTGAATATAACTTAAAAATATAAAGAAGTCAAAATGCTAATGAAGCAATACTTATAGGAGATGACCAGTTATACACAAAAAATGTTGTTTTTCTAAAATACTAGAAATATGATAGTCATTTTCCATACATATATTGTTACTAGATTATAATTAATTCATAGAAGAAAAATTAATCATTATTTCTCGTCATACGATGGGCATTCAGCTTGTATTAATGTAAAACAGCTCTTTACTGGAAAACAGAATTTGTAGAATATGAAAAAAAAAGATAAATACGAAATTTAACCACTACCCTAACACATTTTTCTTAATAAGTTCAGTAACTTGAGATTTTCTGTAGCGATCCATTTGTCTAGACAATTGGGTATGTTAAGCTTAAGCATGTAAAACCTAAAAAAATTGTTATTTCAAATAAAACTCTTGTGAGAATGATTCTTTGTATCTTTCAGCTTCACACTCTTCAACTAACATTAACAATATATCACCAAAATGTATTACTGCTTGTAAAATAAATGCATTATTTTACCATAACCACATACACAAAATTAAAAACAAAAGATATAACAACATTCAGTAAATTCATAAAGAAATTACTTCTTCTCCTGCTACATCTTCAACTTGTAACTGAGTGTCTGTCTTCACTGTAGGGTCTCTGTACCATACCAAAGTGAGTATCTGACCGTTGTATTTTGATCCCAGTGCAACAGCCTAATAAAACAAATATATACATATATTGCTTATTTATGCCTGGTTAATATATTATATTTTTCAAAAAACATACAACAACGTACATGTAATTTATCTTCAGTATCTGTAAGTACAGGATTTGAAAACATTATATCAGATACAAATACTGATACACATAGTTAACAAATACAATATTACACCAAACTGAAAATGAAAAAAAATAATTAGCCTTTGACATGTAACAGTTTCCTTAGAGTAACAATAAAGCTATGAAGAAATAAAATATGCAGGTGTATTCAGGCAGATACATGTAAATATGGATGGAGTTACCAATTTTGTTTAGAACAGGCATTATTATACATACAAAACAGATTCAATTTAATACAAATTTTTTCAGAATATTTTCTAATGTTTTTAAAATAACAGAAGTCATACAAAATCGATAGGATCTGGTTATAAAAAGTGTATTCCAGATGTGATAAACATATACAATAGGACTATCTTGATCACTATTTCTATGTACTATATTTGAGAGGAAGTTATTTGGCAATTTTTATATACACAACTCACAAAAATTAAAGGTTAAGGAGGTTTTGATGTTTTTTATCAAAGTTTGGAGAAAAAAACAAAACTTGTTTATCACAAATATCACGCAAGTTGAAAATACATTTACAAATAAAAAAAAGTAAAATTAACCAAAAATGCCAATATTTGGCTACACACATATCAAAGAAAAATAAGTTAAGATGAACAAACTTATCAAAATGAGTCTTTTAGTAGCTGGTAGATACTCTTCAATCTCTGCACCTGTTCCCCATATTACTGATGCCGTTTCGGTTGACTTGCTGGGGCAGCATAACGCACTCCGAGATGAGGACAACTCTTAGTTCCTGGACAGTCATAGGAGCATGTTATGTGTCTCTAACTTCTCTCTCTAGCAAGTCCTATATATGCTAACTCAGAATCAGGTCCAGTGACTTAGCAGGCTAGTCCAGTACCTCTATTCCTTCTTCCTGAAAATACTGTTGTTCCTGGTGGACAGGTGTCATTCTACTGATACATGAATTCATCTCCAACAGCACCAACAAAAGGGCAAACAATGGGTAGCAGGATCTCATCCACACAACATTTTGCTGTCAGGGGGTTCTCCATCCACCACAAAGAAGTCTGTATGCCCCTGTATGCAGATACCACTCCCCAAAGGTGGACAATATTGCAGGCCAAAAATTGACCTCCTTCATGGACTCCATTGCTGAAAGGTCTAGGTGACATGTTCCTGGGCAAATGCCAGCCGGGCTGTTCGGTGCCTTCCTACATTCTAACTGGTACCCTGGACCTGTGCTTGTTTCTGACCATTGAGAATGATGCACACACTCCAATGACTTGCTAAAGCTCTTTCCCGAGGATCGTAAGAGCTAAATTCTGTAGACAATGGTCATCTACTGCAGCTGTAGCCCTTCTGAAACCCTGGCCTGGCCTCCTGGTGTATGCTCCTGTAGCCTGGTATCTGCACCACAATCTACTGACCACACATTGTGATACCCCCAAAGAAATGTGCTACTTCAGCCTGGGTGTGGCCCTCCTGAAGCACTGTGGTGGCTCTGTAAACTTCAGTTTCAGTTGCACACTCTTTGCAAAAGTCAATACGAGCAAAAAAAAAAATTCAAAAACCTAGCATTATCTCAACAGTAGACATCTTTCCTAACCAATCAAGACTGGCCTTTTGCTTTGCAGAATCTGGGTCATTTCTCATGAAGGCTTATTGCATAAGGAATCACTAGTGTAAAAACTTGCAAACAGTAGGTTGGATTAATGTAATCCTCTACAATAAACATGCTAAATTATAAAAACAACAATTGATAACCTAAAAATATACAAATTCAAACAAACCTCATTATCCTTTAATTTTTGTTAGTAGTGCACTTGTTACTGTATTTGATCACTCTTAATAACACCAAATTGTATTGTTTTTTGTGATTGGGAAACCTTTCAAATTGAACAGTTATGATTGATAAATATTGTGAAACAATAAAAAAGAACAAAGAATAAGATGGAGTAGGATAGCTGTTTGTTTGTAATTAAGCACAAAGTTACACAATGGGCTATCCGTGCTCTTCCCACCATGGGTATCGAAACCCAGTTTCTAGCATTGTAAGTCCACAGACTGTGCCACTGGGGAGCAAGATAGTTGTAAGAACCATGGCTAACAGAATACACACATATTAATAGTTGATGATGAGTAGTATGGACTATCCACCTAAAAAAACTTGGATGAGTAATGACAATTAATTTTCATTAGGTTTGTGGTTGTGTCAAATTTGCTGAATGATGTTGTGTTTTAGCAGAGCTGCTATTGGGGAATCTTATGTTTGTTTGCCACTTACTGGTTGTTGATGATTTTGGATGAGAACTAGGTACCAAGTAGTTGCTTCTGGACGAGTGGGATTCATAAACTGCTAACTTCTGTTCCTAAATTACTGATTAGAATTAGAATTTTGTTTCTGATGTGGAAGGCTTTCTTAAGCTTTCTATAGCAATGATTTTTGCAGCTGTACCAACACAGTGTTCTGTTACAGCTGAGGTGTTGTTTTTCATGAGGCAGAGACTGTATTTTGATGTTCTTTCAACACTGTCCTAAGATTCAATAGAATATTTCCAGATTTAAAGTCGAACTTTCTACCAACTATTCAAAAGTTGTACACTACTTTGGGAATGAATAGAATGGTGATTCTAATCTGCGATTTCTATTTTGGTTACTTGTGGAACTGGGTCTCTGTGCTAGCCTGTTTGATGAGGTTACCCATATACTTATTAACCTGTGGATGGTTTGATTTAAAACTGAGGTACTTTTTTATAGTGTGGATCAGCTTTTCATAGAAACTGGTGGTAAGGTAACTCTCTTTCATCTGGATCACAGTTATATTTTCAGCAGAAATCTGTTATTTCCCAACTGGACAATGAATGTGATATCTCTGTGTATAGAGTTCAGGTGTAGTTAGTGCTTGATGTGGGGGAAAAAAGGAAGTGGAGTGGTTTGTAAAATACTTGAATTTGAAAAAGAAAAGAGATACTAACTGGTTTGTGTATAATTTTAGATTAGGCCCAACATGTATCAGGCTGAAATAGCCAGTCTGAATTTTTATAATTTGTTAACTAAATTTGTTTCACAACTTTCCGTCCGTAATGGTGCAAAGGGAGATGAAAGAGAATGCAAGATATTTGGACATAGCCCTAGGCAACTGTAAAAGTATCAGGGTGGTTTCAAGTCTACTAAAAGGTAGTGGGATTCCACCACACTTCAAGCACTGGATGTAGTAGAAAATCATTAATTCAAACAACACTATTGGACCAAAATAATCAACATGGTAATTCTATAGTTTGGGTACTTGGGTCATGTGGTTAAGGCTAGTTTTTTGAAACTCTCCATCAGGTATTTTATAGAAAAGCCTTTAGCCTGTTTGAAGAAAAGAATTATTCAAAATAAGCAATGTTGGTTCAAAGAAAAACCAGTTCTAAACAAAGATACGAACCAACACATTATCCTCAAATAACGACTGTGTAACCACAACATCATTTGGCAAATGTAAATGAAATATGGACCTGAAAAATATCCATGAAAGTGAACTTAAACATCACCACTCACTCAATTTTTTCATACTACTCATCATCAACTAAATTCCAACTGCTTTGTCTTTCAAATCCTAGAGATTAATACAGTCATGATTATACAATACATTAATACAAAACTTTTCTTGTAATTAAACCACAATGTTAACAATGGTTAAACTAAGTTAGTGTTCTAAACAGTTTTCTGAGATTTTCCTAAAAACAGACTGCCTTTTTGTAGATATCTGAAAATCTGAGTTGAGCCTAACACATTTTTTAGTTATGTATGAACATCCATCTGTTGAATATTTACACAGAAATATTAATTCAGTAAGTATCAAACTAAAACAGACTTTAGTGTCTGAATCACAGAAACAAAGACAATTATTTGTACTTAAGATTTTTGAAGTTCAGTTCAAAAGTTTTTATTTCAAGTATTCTGTTTATAATTACAAAATGACACAACAAAAGCATGTTACTTTTAATTTCCTTTCTTCCCATCAGTATAAAACATTTTATACTAAAAAAGAAGAACTATGCTTGTAGCTTTGTTTAATGTATGCTTGTTTTGTTTGTTTCAAATATTCATGTAAAGCTACACAAGAGCTAGCAGGAAGGCAGCTAGTCAATTGTACTTACTGACAATACTTGGGCTATTCTAATCAAATAAAAGGATCTGACTGTCATTCTTTCAGAGAATCCATAGACCCAGAGTAGAAAGTGCAATTTTGTAACAACGAGACAGGAACTAAAGACCCTCAGGTTAACAATTCAGCACATTAACCACTCCTGATTCATCAATGTATGCATAGAATATTTTTTGACCCAAGATTTGGGATATCTTAACCAGATTATAATGGATGTTTATATAGCATAAAAGATGTACACTAAAATGAAAGGAGCATTGGGTAAATCCCAAGGAGAGAAAAAAAAACTGTCAAAAACATATAAACTAAAAACAATTTCAAATTTTTAAAGGAATCAAGTTATATGATAATGGACTATAACATGTATTATAAGATGATAAATTCTTAAATATTTTTTTAATGATATGATACGCTTAATATATTATTTAAAAAACATCAAAGTTTTCATGGTTACTGATCGTTACATAATGGAGCTTCTTTGCTCGATTTTCACCTTTTCTGCATCTCTTCTCCTTTTGAAAGCTACTACCACACCACTTGAGGTATCTTTCACATTCTCAATTTCACCAAATTGCTGAAAAAAATGTTTAAAATTTTTAAGTTTCACATATATCATCATAGCTTTGATTTACTAACATATATCATCATAGCTTTGATTTACTCACATATATCATCATAGCTTTGATTTACTCACATATATCATCATAGCTTTGGATTACGTGTGTAAAATATATCAGTTATAATCTTAGAGGATAATAAAATGAACTGGAAATTAAAATACAAATATTTATTTTATTACACTGAATGTATTTATAAAATCTTGATTTACTTGTAATGTTAATTTCATCCTCATCAAAATAGAATATAAAATAAAACCACAAATAATGAATTTTAACAGAAACAAAAAAATAAATAAATATATCAGCAAAAATTAACTTTGACTAGCTCGCTCCTTTTGAATAATCAAATTTTATAGTCATGGAAAGTATGAAGTTTCAAAAGGAAAATTAACCAAAACATTGTGGATTTAACTTTCCTTTTAAAATATTTTTCTGTTGTACACTTCAAATATTTTTAAACGTGCTGTAACTTACTTGTCTTTGTCAGATAGTAATAAATTTACCTCAAAAGACATATCAACTTCAGACATACAGTTTGGTTACTTCTTTGTATATTTTGGAACACACTTTCATTATGAAAAAAATTACCCATCTTTAAATTTGGAAATGAAATTTATTTTTTCAAACAGAACAATGTATGTTTTTTAAGTTCTTTTAACAATTTCTTTGTTCAAAAACACACACATTTTTATGTACATATCACTCTTGCTAATGAAAAAGTACTATCAACAAACACAAAAGTTATGGTTGTTTTCTAGGACTTAACAGTTGATAAAAACAACTTAATAGTTTTTCATAAACATATTTCCTTTGAAAGTTTAAGTTGCCACTTGCATTAGTCAACATTTTTGGTGATAAATCATAAAAAAAATAATGCAGAAAATCTCAAAGACTTATTGGTCATCTAGGACCCTACCTATTTTTGGCTATAAATCATAAAACAAAATAATGCATAAACTCTCAAAGACTTATTGGTAATCTAGAACCTGACCTATTTTTGGCTATAAATCATAAAAAAATAATGCAGAAGCTCTCAAAGACTTATTGGTGATCTAGGACCTGACCTTTAAAAAGTATGATTGGTCAGACTAGGCAACAGTATATTTGCTAACGATATTTTTTTTCAAAATCATTATACACCTAATAAATATAGGTTGTTTTCAATAAATTATAAGTTATTTTATTTACATACATTACTTGAATACTATAAACTTAACAATAATATTCAATAAATAAGGATTTGAGTCATTGAAATAATTTTGTCACTACCTATCATATTCTCTTAGCCTAATAAGGCTTACCTAATGTCTCATTATAGAAGAAAATTTCTGTAACTTTCAAACAAATATAAATTGACATAAAAATATACTCAGGAACAAAAAGAATGTCTAAAATATCATAAAACAATTTCCAGATCTGTGGTTTGCTTCTATATCTTCTAAACTTCCCATTAGATTCCTTTGTTTGTCAGTACAGGAGCTCCAACCAGTCACTTTCCAACAAAACCATAAATTACTTCTCAAACCACTTTGTTCATTCTACCTTGATATAAATAGCTTATTAACTGCTTTGTCCAGTGGTACTTAAACCTTGCCTGAAGCTATTTTCAAAGCTTTTCCATGCAAGTAGTTATTCCCACCCTTTTAATGGTCCCACAGCATATTATGTGAACATAGCCCTGTAATAATAAATCGTTGGACAGATAAAGAAAATTAGAAGAAAAACAAAAATTAGTTACTAATATTCTCAATGGACAGTAGTTTCTTAAGAAATAAAAACATATGCTTTGGGACACACAGAAAAATTATAAAAAAATCATTACGTACATTGTTGACAGCATGACTTGTTGGAGCTGTACAGAAATGTAAGTTTGAATTTTTTGGTATTTTTTCTTTGTAAATTATGTTCAAGTATTACAAAATGTTAAAATATCGATTCTAAAATATTTTTTGAGTAAAAAATTGTGAAAAAGAGTTAAACTAGTTGTTTTTATTTGAATTTTGATATGCAGGTGTGTAATCAACTTTTGAAAAGTGATTACTCAACCTGGAAAGGGCTTAGCTTGTAAGTTCCGTGATGAAAATGTAGATTAACTTGATCCAGTTTTAAGCCTCGCTTGATTAATATTCCTTATTCAACTGGCAAAGCTATCTTGCATGTTATCATAATTAGGCAAGTTCAAAAAGACAATTATATCAAAGAATCATCCTGAAACTTAGTTGAATGGATGGCAACTGCCTGTTGTAGAAACACAACTGTAGATGATGATGTTTCGAAAGTCTTCCACCTTTTGTCTTCAGGTCAGTATGTGTATGGTGTTGTCGATCTTTATAGTATTCTGGTGAATTGTGGAAAGACGTTCGGTGGAAATCTTACAAGACATTAAAATCCATTCTGGTGAAAAACAAACAGAAATCTACCAATGAGAAAGACAAAAAAAAACGTCACTTATGAAATTCCGTGTTCCTGGAACAAAACATACATTAGAGAAATGGGAAGAAGACTCACGACAAGAATAAAAGAACAAAGACAGTACAAAACTCATGAAAACACAAAATTCAGCTATTGCAGAACACACCACATCCCAAAATAAACTGGGTAGAAACTAGAATCATTGACACAGACAAATTTTGGAATACAAAAAAAATTAAAGAATCATTTTACATTAACACAATAAAACCTTCATTAACAGAAATGAGTAACCTGTGGCTACCATTGGTTGAATCTACAAGAAGTCTCTCCACCAATCAAAAACAGGGGTAAACCAACCAATCATAACATGCTCTCCACAATCCACCAGAATACTATAAAAACTGACAACATCACACACACACACACACACTGACCCGAAGACTTTCCGAAGGTGGAAGACTTTCAAAATGTTGTCCTCTACAACAGGCAGTTACTGTCCATTCAACTAAGTAGCATCATGAATACTCAGCCTAAACAATCTATCAAAGAAAAGAATCATCCTTAGTTAACAAGGGTGATAAACAAATAAAAGTAGAAAGTATTTTGATAAAAAAAATGGGATTACATCATATTAATACATTACATCCATTTTTTATCAAACCCTCTTCAAGAGTTTTCATCAGGCTTATTATCAGTTTTATTGGGTAATAATGCTATATATTTGTGTAAATACATTACACTGCCTTGCTTATAACCTAATGATAACTCCTGACAAGGGTTGAGAGTTAGTTCCAATACCAGCATTGTTTAAACCCATTTTTCATTAAAATCCTTTTTAATTTCACATGTAATGCTCAATAACAAATGTCTATTATAATCAGAATGTTTACTTAGATTGACAGAATGAAAAGTCAGTATACAAACTGTTTCATTACTGACTAACTTGTCATGTATACTTTGTAATATCATTACTACCCAACAGAATTGATAATAACCCTGGATGGAATGAAATTCCCGGACCTTTCCCTGTCCAAAATATGATGTACTTTTACACCAGTTGATCTATGCTTGTAGTGTATCACTGAACT